AGATGGAGAGTGGTGAGGAAGTCATGTATTTACCACCAGCTCAGCTCTTTCTCTCTCTTTCAGAGTATCTGCGCAGCTCTGAGGAACATTTCATAATTCTTGCTTCTTTTTACTATCAGAGTTTTAGCACCTTGCCTATGGTTTCTGGTATTGCTACTTCATATTGCTAGAAGAGGATATGCCCACACTGGGTTAATTTGCAGTAGCTTCTGTTCTGCAGAGTGACGCACCCAGCCTCTCTCCTCCCAAGTGCCATTAACTACTTTTTCTCCCTTGCTTCTCTTTCCTAGGGTAAGCCATTAATGCTCTTATGGGTTCTCTGCTTCTCAGATACTTAAAACTATGCTCCAGGTGTTTTCTACCTTTTATTGAATGCTTTTTCATATCAATTTCAGTCTGGCTTTCTTGATATATCTGATTACTGTTCAAGCTCCTGTTGACTTCACTAGGAATAAATGGCTGTTCAGAAGAATTTCTGTTTCAGCTTTAATTGTTGCTTGAAGTTTCTGATCCACCAGACAGGTGGATGTTTTGCCCTTCTGTTTTTCCTGCATTGGGTGTTATACATTTTCCTGCTTGTGGTTTCCTAAGGAAGAATTCGTGCCATGCTTAAGGATTTTTTTGCGGGGGGTCTTAATCGGATCTTTTTGTTTAACGACATCCCTTTCATCAAAGCATTCCTTTCTAAAATTGTGGTTTTATCAGTTTTTGCTGTCATGCCTCCTACTGCCTACACTAGTAACTATTCTGTTATGTGATGTTGAATTAGGTAGTGCTTCTGCAGCTTGACTGAAAGGTTGCTGGGTTCTTCCCCCATAAAGATATGGTGCTCCAGACCTCCAGAAGAGCGTTGTTCTCTTAGCCAGCGGTGGCATGAACATCCTCCTTCAGTTTTCCAGAGTAGGCATTTTATAAATTGGTTATATGCCAATGCCATACACATCAGATGCAGTATTGCGTCCTGATGTGGGCATTGTAGATGAATCACCATTTCCTTGCTTTTGGAAAACTTAGGTAATGCATTCACATTAGTGTAATTCACTTACTAAATGCACAGTGAGTTGCATGACAATTTTGATTTCTAGATGGGTGATGTTTGGGTTATGCTGCAGTAATGATGGCAAAGCAGGGGCAGTATTTGTGAAATATGCATTTTTCAGGAGTTGGCTGCAGGCTCCTGCCCTTTGAAACAGGGTTGAAAATAAAAACTCTTGGCTTTTGCTCTCAGGCAATCATCAAAAAGGATAGGAATTACAGCACTTAAGGTGCAAGTGGAAGCCAAAAATGAATGTGTATTTTCTTACAGAGAGAGTATAAGCCTCTCCAGAACTTCTGGTTGTGTGTTTCAACTGCCATGGTTGTGTGTTTCAACTGCCATATATATGTATTTTTGAAATCGTTCTTCAGCCATCTACGCCTTATTTATTCTCTAGTCTCAAAAATGTCAAGTAATTGGCAAATCTACCCCGGTTAGACTGGTTATGGCAGTATCCTCTTAGGCTGGGTGTACAAGTACCCTCAAAGTGTGTGTCAGATCCAGCCATCGTTTTCAGCATGTGTTGAGAAAGCTTGAGCTGCCCATTGCTTCTGGATCTGTCATTGCTTGGGTAAGGAATCATTTCACAACCAGTGATTTTAAGGGTATTTGATGAGACCTAATGATAGCTATCAGACGTATCTTAGCCTTTATGAGGAGCCCTTGTGTCACTAAAGAGACATTGGGATGATGTCTCTTCTATACACAGATTAGTAAAGGCAATTCATGTTCTTACTTGTGACAACTCCTTTCATGCTGATAACTCAAATGGAATATGATGCAGACTGCTTATTTATTCCGACTGTCTACTTCAAGTCATGTTTTCTTAAATAACAGTTCATGCCTATAAGAGCTGGCAATCTACTCTTCCTGAAGGCATTGGCAACCTCAGTTAAATCGGCTTCTGTTCCTCTGTTCTGCTTTTCTTGAACCCATGAGGATTTTGGTGCAAAGTACACGCAGCTGGCTGGAGAGTCACCTTACTGCCGGTAGTGAATAAATGGAGAGGAATAAATGCCCAGACTGTGAAAGAAAAGGCAGTGCTTGCCCTTTTCTGGATGCAGTTTGAATGGTTCTTCAACATCTTGTTCTCAAAAGAAATTTCTTTACAGTGGAAGGGAGCTGAATACAGACAGTGGAAGTTTGGCAAGGCTACCTGCCAGTCATACCTAGTTGTTTAGCTGGAATTTTGCATGTCCTACCATAGATATGTCTATAGATATGTCTGCCTACTATGGATGGCTTTCTGGTCTCTCTGAAGGCTCTGAGACCAACTTGCTTTCCAGCTTTAGTCATGTACACTGCAGCTGAATGCGGGTTGCATAGCTTCAAGATTTCATCACTTGTATCCAGTACAATTGTGTCTCCTTGACTACCTTGCTAGTGTGTTTTGCCCCAAAGCATGTCTGGTAGCTGTAAGGAGACTCCCTGACGGTGTCCTGTTGAAGTTGAGAGTAATCTTTAACGTTAATCTTGGCAGTTAAAAATACTGACCTTTGATTCACAAGCATCTTGTTTCTCTGCTTATTTGTACCTGAAAAGATTGTGTTGGGGAAAGAAATGAAACAAAGAATAAACATCTGTAGCTCACATTTAGGTGATGCCTTCTTCTCTCATGCTGCCCTTGTTCTCTGGTGCAGACACAAGGGACTTATATTCTTGCTATTCTTTGTCTCTTCAGCATCTTTGTTCCAACTTAAGGTTGACGACTGCAGGCTGCCATTGGTACAGTAAGCAAATAATGACTTGCAGGGTAGGTGGCCAGAGAAATCTTGTGTGGATTTTTTTGTGTGTGTGTGTGCATGCGTTTTTAACTGTTTTTTTTTCCCCCACTATCTGTCAAATTCACTTTATTCTCTAAATTTTTAGGATTCTCATTGGTCTTGGGGCCTGTTCTTAACCATCTGTAAGTTATCTTACAAATGCCTGTTCTCCTCCAGAAAAGCATTGCCCCGCCAAGGAACAGTGAGAGGTTGGATGCCAGCTATGCCAAGACATATCCAGCCCTCTAAACACAGGAATGCACACTGCATTTCTTTCTGGACTTGATCACTAGATTTTTTTCATAGCATTTTGGTTTGTCTTGCTTTTTTTTTTTTTTTCCTTCTCTAGTTCCAGAGCCATCTCTCAAGCTGCTGTGTTAAAAATTGATACCATATAGCATTTAGTGAGTCCAACACTCTTGCATAGCAGTCAGTTCTCTTTAATAATAATAAAAAAAATCAAATTGAAATATACATTGGCCGTTTCTATCATCCAAGCCATGAGCTCTCGAGCTCCTGAGTGACTTTTAAAAATGAGGTCATTAGCAGTGCAGCAGGCGGCTAATGATCTGCATCATTCAGTTTTATAATAATTTTGCAATAATTCTGCAGAACTGATCTTTCATTTGAAATGCTTGTGAACGGGATATCCTTTTTGCCATCTCTTGGGAGTGATCCAGCACGGCGCAGTGGTGGGTGCAGGATTCCCAACAGGGAGGGGAAAGGCAGTAAATGAGCATCGTTCAGGAGCTGGGGGGCAGCTTCTTTACTCTCTTCTTGTAGCTGGGCACAGGGGGCACAGAAGCGTCCTGCATATATGGGGGAAATGCCGGTTGGTACTCGGTTCTGCAAAGAGAAATTATTAGTGTCACCTTTTGTGTTGTTTCTTAATGTATTTTTAGGAACTTGGCTCCCTTGCTTGCTCGGCAGGACACAGGCTTCAGCATGGTGGTGCCGCAGGTGCATTAACAGCAGTTAAGCTGTTGAGTGGTGGCTGCTGAGGCCGCAGTGCTGCTAAGACTGGGTTGCTGCACGAGGCAAACGCTTTTTTCGTGCCTTCTTACTCCTCTGGGGCCTTGTTTATTTAGCACCCTTGCAGAATGGGAGGATACTCACTGCCTGATAGCAAGGATGGAGAGGCAGGAACTAAAACGAGCAGAAAATGTGTTGCCATCTAAAACGAGCATGCTAAGACTGGGTTGCTGCACGAGGCAGACACTTTTTTAGTGCCTTCTTACCCCTCTGGGGTCTTGTTTATTTAGCACCCTTGCAGAAAGGGAGGATACTCACTGCCTGACACGTTTGTCTTGCTGGCAGGAACAAGAACGAGCAGAAAATGTGTTGCCATCTAAAACGAGCAGAAAATGTGTTGCCGTCTTGGTTGGAGACAGCATTATGAAGATATTATCCCTGTCATTAGGAGCAGTCACATACTCTGCTGGGGAGAGCTTCTGATGCTTCGAGGGCCCTGCTCTTCTGGGGTCCACAGTTGTTATGATTCCTTTGCACGCAATATCACAGGGCTCAATTGGTTGTGGATTTTAATGTGGAGGAATAGCATCATCAAGGACTTGAGCAATTCAGGACTGGCATGTGTCAGCAAAGCGTTGCTTGAGCAGGCTTAAAGGTTTGAGATCTTGGTACAACTTAGTTGCTCAATATTTTTGTGGGATAATTTGCTTTATCGTTAGAGAATAAATACAATGCAAGAAGTTTTGTCGGAAGAATGTTTCCCATAAAAGTATCTTTTTATTTTTTTTCCAGAAATGTCCGCAATAAAGCAGCCAGAAAGACCTTTTGTTAAATACTGGAGGGGAGCATGTTAGCCACTGAATTCTTACTGTTCAGCTTACTGTCATTGAGCAAAGACATGGATTATCTTAAACAAGTGTTTTGCCTATAACAAAACTCAATTACAGACCTTATCTAATGAAAACATATACCTCAAGGACAACAAAAAATATATGCCTGATGTAGTTAGAAGAAAAACCCCTAAGGTTACATGAGAGAAATGTGCAAGATATTTTAATATATTGCCTGATGCTCAGACTGTTTTGTTTAAGTCACTGTTTTGGACCCTTGTGCATCTTGGGTCCTCTTTCATCCTTGCATTGGCAGAGAATCTCAAGTTGGAATTGTAGAGTCCATTGCCATGTTTTGTTCTCTAACTGCAGTTTTGTTTTTTTCGTGTTTCTTTTTGTAGGCCCGAAATGTTAACACGGGTGAGCTAGCGGCAATTAAAGTAATAAAACTAGAACCAGGTAAGTGTTTCTCTTGTGAAATAAAAGTTACTGAAACAAAGTATTTTCATGTTTAAAACATGCTTTTACACAATTATTTGAGTTCACATGAATGTTTTTGGGAAAGGGATGATTCTTGTTGCCTTCTTTTTCAGGGTAGGGCCAAGTATTGGTGTTCTTTTTTAAATAAAAGCGGGGGGCGGACAACAAGCAACATGTGAGAAGGAAAAGCTGTATCTGGAGGACAGTTAAAGTGTCTGAAAAGAAAAAACAAACTGTCATTTTAAGTACTACCTTTTCAATCCTTATAATGCAAAAATGTGTATAGAACAAAAGAAATGAGGAAGACAGAAAGACAAAAGAAGTTGGCTGGAGAAAGCAGAGGAGGAGAGATATCGAGGAGGACAGGTGAAATGATGGGTGACCAAGGGAGACTACGGCTAAAACTTCATGGTGTTCTAGATTACTGCTTGAGCCATATGTCTGCTCTCCTCTTGCAAAGTTCATCTCCCTTACAGTTCACTTATCAGTGTGCAAGAGCCGTTTGATTAATATGGTTAGACTTGTTGAACATAAGTACTGTAATTTGGGAAGGAACATGTCCAAATGTTTTCGTTACCTCAGTGCTGTTCATTTCAAGATTAATATGGAGCGGGGGAAATTCTTTAATTGGGAGATTTTATTCTTAATGCCTGTGCAGCCTGAGAAGGAAAGAAGGTACTACTTCCTTCCATTTTCTCTTATTTTTGGTGTGTGAATAGAAACATATATATTATGTGTGTGTGTATACATATATATATATATATATGTATAATATATATTAAAAAAACTTGCTTTTTCAAAACAGAACAGTATTTTACTCTTTGGTTCCAAAAGTTGGCGTCCAAAGTTCATGATGCAGCTTTAATCCAAACAGAAAGTTGGGGTCTTGGACTATCCTGGCTACTTCTTCTGTAACTTTTTTGTGGAGATTCCTGCCCCTGAAGGATTTGGATGGCCTTAGCAGTGCTGGGATACACATCCCAAAGGAGTGGTGCTCTAGAAGCCTGGCCAGGAAACAGCAGGAACAGTAATAACTTTAACCTGTTTGTACCAGGCCGTGAATAGGAGACAGTTGACTGTGACATTACCTTGCAGCCAGCAGCTTGGAATTTGCTTTAGTAGTGCAATACACCTGAATATCAGATCTGTAGGTAAAAAGTAACGTAGTGATGACCTACAAATTAGGAAATGTTGATAAAAAAACTTTAAATGTTTTCCTAAACAGTAGTTTGGCCAGTTCTAATGGAGTTTTGTGTTTATGTGTGGACTTTATTAACATCTGTATAACTGATAAACATATGCTTACTGTCTGTGCTGAGGTTTTGGACAATACCTTTGATTTGTTTCTTCAAAGCTCTCAAATTATGCTGAAGTCAGCTATAACAGTACACTAGAGAAGAATTTTGACATATTTCGTTATGGAAGGATGACTTTGAATTTTCATGTTTCTTTGGCTTGTTTAAAGAGTCTCTCAATTTATTCATGCTCGTTTTTTTAAAAAGACTTTCATGCTTATTTTATCTATGAAGTCCTTTACGTTAATGAGAATGACTTGTTTTCATTGAACTGTGTTTGCGGCAGGTGCAGCCTAAGCATGAAATAGTTTTGGCATTTACTTAGGCTTTACTATGCCAGTGTTTTGCATTGTCCATATAATTTTGTGCTCGCTGAGTGTACTGAAAAGTTGCAGTAGTCGAATGTTTTATCGAATGTAGTATTGGATGCTTTGGGCTCAGGAAGGTGATAAAATGCAGGTTGGACACCTGGCCAAAAATAGTACTGTTTTCATCTTTTTAAGAATTGAGGTTAATGGCAGGGTATGTGCAGAGTGGGGTCTTGGGGAAAATACAAAGTTTAGAAAGAGTTATGGCCAATGTCATAAGAGATAACATATAGCAGATGTGAAGTCCATCTGGCCTGGAATGAGACCTCCTGTCTAAAGAGTTCAGTTTCATATTGATAAAACCTTGCTGAATAATACTGATTTATAATCTAGAAGATCATTAGTTTTAATTATTCAAAATTTCTATTTTGAAAACATGCTGAAAGTCTCCTTCAGAGATGGGTACGGACTAGGATGATGATGATGATGATTATCCTTCTGCTTTTCAGGAGAAGATTTTGCTGTCGTGCAGCAGGAAATCATTATGATGAAAGACTGTAAACATCCAAACATTGTTGCTTATTTTGGCAGCTATCTCAGGTACAGTTTGTTTCTTTTGCTCGTATACAAATACCTCTATCTCGTTGAAAAGGAGAGGTCCGTAGAGAGGCTTGGGCAAAACAGAATTTATGAAATCTGTATTATCCACTTGTATGTTTTTTTAGTCATCTTTAAATCTATTTTATTACCTGAAATGTCCCTCCATAAATAAACAGGCTTTTTTGATAAAATCCTTCTGTGACAAAAGTGGTCGCATTCCCTTGGAAATGAGTTGGCATTGAAAAGCTTTGAATTTAATACATAAATAGAAGAATTAAGCAGAAATATGGAAAGTGTAAAGAAGGAGGTGACTGTAATCTTTTAAAATCTGTTTCAATTAAAAGTCTCTTAGTTGCAAAACTATGGGGATTTTGTTCTGCATTGCATAATACAGTTCTCAGACACTCTCGCTTTACTGGTATTGGCATGTGAAACTGTCTATGAGAGAGTAAATTGGAATTTTATGGGGGAATAAGGAGAAAAAGTTTGGGTTTTGTTTTGCTTTTTTGCTCTCCTTGCTTAGTACTACATTAAATCTTAATGACATTTTGGTATTGAAGCACATAAAGGCTCCATAGTTTCCAGCTTTAAAAATCCCACTGGTGTCTGTGCTTTGAATTTGTCTTGAAATATAAGAAAGATCCATATTTCGGTTCTTTAATATTTGCTTTTCTCTCTTGAACTGCATAGTTTTGCAGTATATGTAATAATGTACATTTCAGCTGTTTTGCCCTTTTTATTTTTTTGCAGTTTCTTTTGTAAGGTGTTATGCTTACTCGTTACAATTGCGTGAAGTCCATACCGTTGCAATAAGCTTCACACAAATTCTCTATATTGACCAAATTGTTAGCAAATTCTTAATTATACTTGATGTTGTAATTCTTAGTACAGACTGATGCATGTTTTATGCCAGATATATTGTTTGTGTGATAGTGAGGACTGCACTTGAATGACTATTTTGTGAACCTAGGGCTGTCATAACTTTGGTCATATTGTCCAGGCTTTTGAAACCCCGTGATACGTTTAATGTGGTTTTGGAGGCTGCTGATTTGTTTCAGCTATTTACATATATTCCAGCTGTCTGGGGACAGCATAGGTGGGATGTGATAGTGCTGCGTGTTGTCAAAGTGACAAGACCCCATCCTAAAGACAAGATGCCAGGTTCAATTATATGTTCCCCTACCCGGCTTCAGCAGCTCAAGCTGGAATTTTCTGCAATGGATATGAATTTTCTGCCATTGCCTAAAGCTTTTCAGCAATATAGGTCAGGCGTTTTGAGATTGGAAGAAATAGATGATATTTGACAGTGAAAAATCCTGGTAACTTTTTTTTTTATTAAATAGCTTTTGTGTACCATCTTTGAAGCAGGATTTAATATTTGATAGGAGGTGGCTTTTGTATCTGAAATATGTCTCTATGTCTTTCCCTTTTGGAAACCCTTCCAAACTTGGCTAAGGCTCCTCCTAAAATACTGCCTTAAAAAAAAAGCTGAATAACTGTGTAGTGAGAGCCAACGGACACTGGCCATGTTAGGAGAGTAGCAGAGCTTGGCATCCGTGTTGGGGGAGAGAAAATCCCCACAAGGAGTGTCAAGGTGGGGGGCATCTCTCCCGCTGGAGGCAGAGCAGGGGCGTCTCGAGGAGTTTTGTTTCCCTCCTGCCTTTGGGGTTCAGGAGCCTCAGTGACCCATAATGAAAACGTGTTTCTCACCGGTGGGGATTTGCTGCATCCCTTGGTTCCAACCCCTTGTTGGCGCCGGCCTCCTGACAGCAGCTATTGCACATAAGCAGGTACAGTTCATGCCGGCAGGGTCTGCGTTTTGAATCATCCTGATGTTACCATCATTTCCGAGGGGTGAGTGGAAAACCTGGTCGCAGTAGTACTTCGCAGGCACAGTTTAGCATGGAGCATGCGGGAAGTTTCTGCAGGCACGTTAGTTTTCAGAAGAAGGCTGAAGAAGAAAGCAAGGAGGCAGGCAGGAGCGCGTCCCACGGGTAGTAGCGCGGACGCACGCGCAATGGGGCACGGCCATCAGCAAAGGAGCGAGCCAGGCCCTTCCAGCGTTCAAATTGGTGCAGTTATTCATCTGTTTCGTTGCTCACAGCTTGTCAGGTGGTAAAATTCACTTATTTTTGCCTTTCAACAGCCCTGGCAAGGGAAGCTGTGTTGACGTTTTTCCTGATGCTTGACATTAACCTTGCTTACTTAGCAAACCTGAAAGTCATGGTTGCAAATGTTTTAAGCAGGTTGATTTACAGGGAAGAGGTATTTGAGGAACAGAAGAAGGAAGGGCTGGAGCTCGCTGTGCTGTTGGAGTTATCCTACATTGTTTTTCTAATGCATGAACTTCTGACCAGAACACGACTGTCTGTTTTGGTTTGTTTTTGCAGGGAAGGTTATTTGTTTAGTAGAAGGATTGACAAAAGCTTCCAGTTGTCTTGCTGGCTGTTTTTTTTTTTTTTTTTCTCTTATCAATCATAGTTTCCTGAACAATCTAGTCCTACTAATCAGAAGTTGTTTCTGATAATTTCGAAGACTTTGTGTGAAAAGAAGTTGGGAACAAAAGTTGTCATTGAATTCTACTTCAGTGAAAATTCGGGGGTTGAAATGTTGCCTGTCCTCATGACGCCGCACCTACATTTTGATGCTTTTCCTTTTAAAAACTCGCTTTCCTCCAGTCTCGGAGTCTCAAAATCTACCTGTGTTAAGAGCCCTGTGTTAGGCCCCAGCTCTGTTTTGTTCTGGCTTGATGCCCTCTCTTTGGCAGATGCTCTAATGCTCTCTCTCATCTGGACAACCGAATAGTTGTGTTCAGCAGACTTCTCACTGCTTGACCTTTTCTTGGCCAGCGCCTGCTAGGAACGACAAGAAAAATCTCCTCACTCTCCGCTTGGCACTGCTCTGCTGTTGTTCCTGGTGCTCCTCCCCTGTCGTGGTTGGCTTTTTCTGGGAGTCCAGTTCGTGCCCGGCCGCCAGCGGAGCTGTGAGGCGGCACGACGGGTGCCACAGGCTCTGGGAAGGCAGCGCCAGGGCGCCTCGTCCCTGTGGTGACAGGGAGCTCCCGCCGCCTCAGCGCGCCGAGGGCTCGGGTGCCACGTTAAGGGAAGGCGGTTTCTCCGCTTTTGTAATGAAACCTGAACGTGGGCAACCCAAAACCAGGAGCCTTGGAGCAATCGTGAGCCTTCCCTTCGGTGTCCTTGGTCCCACGTACGCTCCTGTTCCTTCTCCTCGTTCCTTCTCTCAGCGTTTGGCCGCCAGGAACGCCTCGGTGCGTCTCGGCTATTCTGCTGGCCTAAAAGCCTCTCTGCTTGGTCCACGTGTCCTTTCCTTGAGCACTGCCAAGTGCAAAGGCGCCGTAGTAGTGCCCTTGTGCTGTACATTTCTTTGAGGCCTTCTGCCTCCTTATCCTGAACAGGAGATCACCTTTTCCTGAGAGCACTATGAGTCAGGCTGACTCAGTGCCCTTGGAGAGAGGGAGCAAAAGAGCTTCCCTCTTCCCCTACTACCGAATATATCCATGCATATTTTTGAGGGAAAGGTTGTAATTGCAGCTGGCATTTGTCCACAGCATGGGCTGCGCTGGGCCTAGCTTTGGCTCGAGCATTAGAGCTTCACTGCATTTGCTGAGGAAGAAAGAAATTAAATTGAGAGATATTGCTAGGGCTTTTTGTGTTTTATTTTTTGGGGGGGCTGTATTTTATATATTTTTTATACCTCCTCTGCTCTAAAAGGAAAGGAGGATAAGCAAACATGAGGAAGAAATAAAAACCCAGTATCTATATTCTCTCTGCTGTCAGTGGAAACAGGTTTCATATTGGCATCAGTCTTTACAAAATTCAGTGTGCACACACTTTAGTGCTACTGTTCATATTTCTCCTATAAACACTAAGTAAGTAATATCCCCAAATTTTCGTTTTGACAGGGCATTATCACATAAAGATTGAAACATGTTCAGTGTTATGATTTGTATTTTCCTCATACAGAGCTTGTTACATTGCACTCCCTCATGCTGGAGTCCTACGGCTTCTTTCGTAGTTACTGTTTGTGAGTGTGACAGCTAATGACTGGTTTATTCCCTTTATAGACGAGACAAGCTGTGGATTTGCATGGAGTTTTGTGGAGGTGGCTCTCTACAGGATATTTATCATGGTATGTCAAAACCATACTTCCGTAAAGAGCTAAGTTAAGCTCACTTTCAGAAATGGAGATGATTACAGTCTTTTGGAATGAAAGAAGATGAATCTTAAACTTAGAGAACATAATAGTCTATTGAAGGTCAGCTTTAGCTTTTTTCCTTCTTTCAGCACTTCATATACAGACCACTGCTTTTTAAATACTGCGTAAAATTAGACAATGCTATATTATAAAAATAGAGAAATTGTATGGTTTTGTTTCATAGCCATTTTGTTTGCGTTTTCGACCTTTGTCTTAATCTATGCCACTGTCTACAGATACCTAAATAAATAGATTGATTAGCAAGGGTGTTCTTGTGCTATGTAAGCACTGACTTTATGTATATTTGTTTTGCCATAGTGCCAAGAGGGCCCTTTTCTGTGCCTGATGCAAGGCATGTGAAAAGCAAAGGTGATCTATACATTTGCTTTAGGCTTAGGTGCAACAAGTGGGCAAAAAAACAGGGGTGTGTAAATCTATTGTGTAAAGAAAGGGTCAGTCAATTGATTGCCAGTTTTTGAAAGGCAAAATCAGTTTTAAGGGATTATAGTACCCTGGCAAGAAGGTGTGCTTAGGAAAAAGAGCTGTAAACAAGTAGTGGTTCCAAGATGATGTTTTTCAGACAGGAAACTGGTCCGAACTCTAAATTGCCAAGATTTTCTGCATTCGTAACTTCACGTCCTTATCTCGTGTATAAACAGCCTGGATAAACATCTCTGTGTTTGTCCCCGATGCCATGAAAACGAGGCACCAGTTTACAAATCCAGACCCTCCTAATGGCTCTGTCATTTGAGTAGCCTTCTTGTCGACCCCTCATGTCTCTGCCAACGCTGCTAAAAGCATCGTGTCCAGTAGGGTTTATGTGGGACACCTGCAGAGAAGGAAGTGAGCTCATGTCACATAAATGCTTGGACAAAAGTCAGGCAGGAATGGCTTCCTGTTGCAACTGATTTTAAGCCTCTCTGCTACTAGCTGGAGCAAAAGGCTCTTCTCTGATCTCAGTTAATTTCCAAAGTTCCTTATTTCAGTTTGACCGTAGGCCTCAACAGTTAAATCTGACAAACATAAATGTTACTTTGGTTAAGATTTAAATTGCTCAAAATAAACCTGCAGGCCCAGAAATACATACTGTGGGTGCTAATGTGCTACCTTTATGCTGTTTTAGAACTTTTCTTTCAGAAATGGGCAGATGGCATGGATCTGTTTTAAAATACATAATGTGTGATACTCATTTCTTATATAGCTACACTTTTGAAGAAGCTAAGCAGTTAGGTGCTTAATTGTTTTTAATTTGTAGCTCCCTACTCCTCTGGTTTCCTTTGAGAAACCCCAGCCAACACTTGTTTCCTTTGTTTTCTCTGCAAAACATGAGCAGCTTGCAACAAGGACAACATTTCCTGTTCTTAAAATCTTTTAATTTGGGGATTAAAGTCCCGTGACTGAGAACAGGTCATAGGCCAGTCCGTGTTTGTGTTTCGCTGTTTGGTTTATGCTTTTCTTTACAATGAAATCCTCTAAGAGGCCTGTGTAAAATGGGAATTTGTGGGAGAGGAATACTCTTCCTTACCTGGGGAAGTTCCTAGGATATTTGAAGGGAGACTTTGGAAGGTGCATGGTGCTTTCCTCTGTCTGGATCTTCTGTCAGCTCCCCTTGGTGTAAATGGGAAGTAATGGCACAGGCTCCAAAGAAAAAGAATCTTACTGAATGTTGAGGGAGAAATAACTGTGTGTGTGTTTGTCTGATTGATTGATTTTCCTTCTCTTTTTTTTTCCCTTCTGTTTCAGTGACTGGACCACTTTCCGAACAGCAGATTGCTTATGTTAGCAGAGAAACACTACAGGTAGTACGTTCAAAGGTTCTTGTGTTACATTAAAAACGACTTTAGACAAATTATACAAAGTTTTAAAAGATAAATAAAAGTTGAACATATCTGTATGATGTTGTGCAAGTGCAGTATCTAGATGACTTCCCATTTTCCTTTGTTTTCTTGTTTTGCTTTGCTTTAGGAGGTTGTTTGTTATAGCCTAGAACTGGTTGTATAATCTGGATAACCTCAAATTATCCCAGATCATTCAGATGAAAGCTGCCCTCCTCCTTTTATTGCTTTTTTCCCCTCCTCTTTAAAAAGAGGAAAAAAACAGCACATTTGTTTGTTTGCAATAATGTCTGTTACTGCATATTTGAAGGGGAAATTAAAGGTTTGCTTTTGTGTATCTGGTTGTTGGCCTGTGCCAGTAAGAAAAAAAAAAATGCCTGAGTATTGGAGTATTTGAGGTGCACACTAAGGCGATCGCCGCGGTGGGTAGGCCAGGTTGTGTCTGTCCTTCCCAAACTCGCTCAGGATATCTTTGTACAACCTTTGTCTGTTGTCTCTGAGCCAGCAGTGCCAGAGGTTGCTGCCTCCTGACTCACAGGACACTCCTTCTCCCTCTTCCCCTCTATTTTTTTCTTTGTTTTTATTTTTTCTTGTCCTTTACAGTGGAATCTTGCTTGACTTCACAGCTGGGAGTGGTGTTTTCATTTTCAAACCTTTAATCCCGTTTCTCCAAACTCTGCAAAGTGTTTAA